GTGAAATATTAGCGTCGTGACAAAAGTTGTTATCAACAAACGAGCGCCGACAGCCGGGCTCTCCGTTATGGGCACCGCCATGTTTCTGTATCACTGCTGACGTAGCGCTGAGTCCGCGAGCATGACGGGATGCCTGTTGGGCCAACAGGGCGTTTTCTCATTGGACGATGTTTGGGTCCTATTTCGTCCCGCCCCTTCCTCTCTCCGCTATCTCTCTATAACATTTGCACCAACACAAACAACAAAAGTAAACGACAACATGAATAATCAACGGCGAATATATATATATATATATATATATATATATATATATATATATATATATAGTATAGCACAGCAGAAATTCAAATGGCCACATCCTTGCTGGAATTGGCATGCTTTTTTAAAAGCTATTTTTGCCCCCATTTAAAAAAAAAAAGAGCTGTAATGCAAATTCAATTTAAATTTGACAAAAATGGTGAAATAGCATTTACATGTCAAGGGTGGATTCAATCCGCCAACATGCTTTTGATTAGAATGCCTTTTCATGTGAGATATTTTGACATTTTACCATGCAGTATAGGTGTAATAAATAAATAAATAAATAAATAAACAAAAAAACAAATCACTGATTCAAGTCACAGAGGCCTATAAACCGGCCAGCAACCGTTAGACAAAAATGTGCATTCCCTGGCTGTTTCGTAAGTTGTTGTTGGCAGTTGCTTTGAAATTCATTGCTACAATCTCATTCTGAAGGTCTAGAGAGTGGTCAGACCTGGTAGCAAGTACCAGTTGCATCTGATGCAAATAGTTTGCATGGAAGAAACCAATACTCACAAACTGCCCAGGTGCCACTTTGGGAATGCACAGGCTTTTTATTTTTTCATTTTTATTTATTTATTTATTTTTTATAGATTCATTCTACTAATGACAGCCCAGGACACTCTTGCAGAAGACTCTCCGAATCTCAAGACTCCCCCTTTCTTGTCAAAAAAGAGGGGCATTTCAATATAATTGATAACATTACTACTAAAGTACAATGTTAACTAAATCGGATCAGCTTATTTATTATTAATACTAACTGTAAGACTAGAAAACTTTATTCTTCTTACATGTTTGGATATTTCACTAAATAAACCTCTACTCACAAACACACAGGTACACACATAGAGAGGCAGAGTCCTGCTGTGTGTAACTGCTGCTGATTGCGGGCAAATAATAAAATCATGTTGCGCTGTCTGACCGATGCTTAGGAACTTGACACAACCCACTAAATGTGGGAGACTTTGGGTCATAATAGCAAATATTTACCCCAGGGCAGCATACTGGGTCAATGTGACCTTAACATGTGCAGTTGTCACTCCATTAGGTCTTGCAGGTGATTATATGAAGAGGATGAACATGATATAAACTATTAAAACATATACCAATGCCTTGATTTACTTCAAAATTTTCCCCACTTTCCCCCAGTTGCCTCTATGGGTGCTGCACCACACTACAAGGGCCCGTTTGGAGCCTTTTTCTTCCTGTGAGTAAGCCACTGAATTATTTGGCTACCTTTGCAAGCAACACATGAAAAGTTGGTGAAGCAGATGAATATAATTCAGATGAGCTAAAGCTTTAATCATGTTTTTGGAAACAAGGTTAAAGGAGATCAACTCCTCGAGCAGGTGAAAGACGTGAATATTGTTTTTCAATTCTGTGTCAACACAACAATAAAATCCATTATATGACAGGTATGCACAAGTGTTGTCAAACCGGATCTGTTTTGCATGTCTTTAAATAGCAGAAAACTGTCATGTGGCATGAGGCTGTGGAAAGAAAACTCTATTAGATTGATCTATTATCTACTATTAAATATACTATTAAAATGCATCTGTAAAATGCTCTGCCAAACAAAACACACAAGAAGGAGAATATATGAAATTGTGAAAATGTCTGGTGCTTACCACTCGTCACATCTTTCCAGTGGATTTGTAAGGGCAGAGAAAATAGAGACATCTGTCTTTTGTCTGAGGAAGTCCTCATTAGAGAGTTAAACCACACTCTTTGTGGGGAAATGCAGGATTTGAATAACAAAGGCAGTGCTAATAGATCCATTTAGAAGTGGACAATGGGAAACCGTGGATTGTTAATGGGTCAGTGAAACTGTGAATAGCCTATTGCATGAGTCAGAACAAATATTTGGCCAGCGAATTATACAATACTGTACTAAATATAATCCTGGAAATGACAGCAAGCCTCTGCCGTTGAGCCACATGAGGTTTGAGGTGGCACTTTTTTGAGGGGCATGTTCTATCCTTGTTTTGACCGCTGGATGTCCTCCTATCATTCTGTGTGTTGTGGAACCAGTGGCCTTAACAGACAAAACAAATACCTGTTGTGTTGTGCATGGGGCCATTTGTTCTTGGGGGATCTGGGCATCTAAAGCATTAAGAGGAAAGGGAGAGTGGCTTGTCAACGCCTGGTGTGAACGATGGCTTAGTTAAATGAAGCCTGTTGCTTCATGGCGTTTATTCATACCGGAAAGGCACAAAGCAATCCATTATCACGTAGACTAAATATCTGCTGAGGTGACAGCAGGCTAAGGAAACGTCCCACCAGGCTCTTACTTTTACCACCATGATGCAAATCGCTTCTCTCCTTTGAGGACCAGGGCACTCACTGTTCTTATGATTTTAATTACGATCCAGTGAGCCTGATGCTGACCCGATGCACAAGAGACACAGAAGCTTCGCTTATCATGCCTAGCAGCTTTGAATGTTTTATGATCATTTAAGCCAATAATGCATAGATTTGATCTGCCGCTGTATTATTCGCAGGCTTGGCTCTGTGCATACAGGCCACACACTCACCCCGGACAATGCAGAAGGGGGCTAAACCTTCATTTCAGATTGCTTTGACACAGTCCAGTGTGGTCTGGGCAGAAGAGAGGGCACTTATTGTCCACTAAGGACTTTGCCACATTCATTTGAGGAGCAGCCCTTTCTCATTATTAACAGACACACTAAACGATGGGGCCCAAACAATACAGCACAGATCCCTTTATGCAGACAAGTGCTCAACGTTTCAGCAGCCACTGTGTGCCCTCCACCACTCCCGCTCCCTTTTTAGATACCTGCACATCAGTGAAAGATGTGGAGGACACAAAAGATATCCTCAACTTTCCTTTTTCTCCCATTCTGTGAAACAGGCCCATTTTAAAGCCTTTATTTGTGCAAAGCCTCTCATTAACTCCGCTCATGCTGCCTCACTCGGTTTGCCATTGCTTAAGTACCGGGTGTTGTAAAAAAGCTACCAATTAGTCACTCATCAGCTCCAATTAGAGGAGACAAAGCCTGAGTAAAGATAACTCAATGAGAGGGAGAGGTGGAAGGGTGAGGGCTCTCAGTATGTGCATGTGTGATTGTGTGTGTTTTTTTGTGTCTACACGCATAAGTGTGTGTGTGTTTGCATACATGTGTTGAAGCCCGGACCGGCACAACATCGTTTTTAATCAGTGAAGAACTTGTGGCCATTCAGTCTGACCCACCACGGCACAGGTCCATTCACTCTCCAGGCTCCTCAGCGGGCCCTTTTCTCAGGGCCAAGTGTTGTTGTGCTGGGAAGACAGGCCCCCCAGGAGTCCCAGAAAGAGAGCCATTCAATCCTCTCTACCTGTTTGCAGCACATAAAGCACTTAGACCCTGGCCGATCTCTCATCATTGTCTCCTTCACTCTCAATACTTCCTTAAACTTAGGCCTCAACAAGAGCAAGCCCTTTTAGAGAGGGGGGAATAGGGGATGTATGTTAAGGGGGTGCCTTTCGCCTCATTAGAATTGAATTTGCACTGTCTTGTAATTACGCTGAAGGGCAACAATGTATTTTTTTTTCTTCCATCATAATCTTTGCTGAATGGAAGATTTTTTGGGGCAGTTAATTTGCTGCCCACACTAATGCATTAATTAATGAATTGGGTAGCACTAATTTTCTTTATGCTGCCCCTCTCTGTTTGTTTCCTCCATCTGTTTCCAACAGTCCTGGGCAGCCGCTACTAATAAAATTACCTCATTAGGGCTTTTTAGCAACACAGTAACTCACTCATCCTTTTTGCTACTAAACATTTTCTTTGGGGTCTGTTTGTGTGTGTGTGTGTGTGTGCATGTTCCCATTTAGTGCTGCATATTTTTTGTGGACAGTTCTAAATAATGAAGGGGGCAAGCAGAGAGATATAATTGGGAACAAGGGGCTACTTCAGCAAATATTTGAAATCCTTTTAAAGGCCTGTCCTTGTACAGTGGTGATTAATTACTTCCAGAAGAGATATTTGAGAAATTTATTGCCAAGATTTCCCCGTGTTTTTGTCTCTTTCTATACGAGAGGAGCCCAGCTTGTTAAAAAGAATCGCCCAGCACTTCAATATCAGTCCCTCTTTAATCAAATGCAAATCATAACATGCAGCGTTGTGGGAAAATGGGCTCATTGTGAAAAAAATACACAACGTGTTAACAATGATGTAGTGTCTAATGAGGCTGGCATCCAAAATCCAAAACTTCCAACTATCTGAATGGATTTCGGTTTGGATGTTATCAAAGAATGAACAAATCTGCGTTTGTCTTTTGGGAACGACATAAATGTTTCTAATAGAAAAGATAACGAATGTGAATATGATTTAAATTAGGGAAGAAAAGTTCTTCCAGGAACAAAATGATCACTCTGACGCCTGCAGGTCAATCTTTGAGAGAGAAGAAAAGGTAATGTCACAGAGTCCCAAAATAAACAAGCATCTACACATTACCCATGCTGAGTGAGCATTCCCACAAAGCTTTATTCATCACGGTGATTTGATTGTGTCTGTGTGGATCCCTGTGAACTACACGCCAAAGTCTAATGAGTTCAGTCAGCACTCTGTGCTGTGCATCATTTTAATGGGCTGAACTCAAACAGTACACGCTGTACAGGACTGAGAAATTACTGCCATCTAGTGGATTCATAAGGGTACTGAATGCTTGATGTACAAACACAACTAAGTACTGTATAGTCCTTTTTTATGGTTATTCTTTATTAAATAAGGAATGGATAATAATGTCATATAAAATCAGGTTAACTCAACCAGAGAGTGAGTGGCACCACATAATGGTAATATTTGGTGGTAATATGTAAGAGAATGCTATCAAAATCGTTCATAGTGTGTGGATGTGGCTGGGATTATTGTGGATAATGGCAAAAAAAATCAAAACACCAAACACCATAAAATAAATAAAACAAACAAACAAACAAAAAAACATGTACAGATGAGTCAAGCCAGACGTTTCTTTTCTCTTTTTTTGTTTCCTAAGGCTTGTATATGCCTGGTCATCAGACAGAATTGATATTGAAATCCACAAAGATCAGGAAATAACATTCTCGTTTTGGAGATTATTAGTCTCATGATGTTAATCAAGGATGAACAGTTTTTTAAAAAAAAATTCTCCAGCCTTGAAAAATTGCCCTGTTTTCTGCCAACAAATCAACAGGTCGGTTAAAAATAAAATTTCTTTTTAAACATCAGACTGCTTTGGATCTCTTGCTTTGAGAAGGTCTCCCTCTGGTGGAGAAATAAAATTAAAACATTTTAGAAATTCAGTCAGCTGACATTCACACTGCCCTCTGAAAGTTGCCTGCTTGCAGAGAAGGCTTTACTTTGGTTGGTTTATTATTAGATCAGATATACAAGCGCAGTGGTTTTTATTCCGAGTTTTAAACAAGCCACTAATGAGCTGTAGGCACAGAAACTTTAGTCTGGTGTCCATGGCAGGAGATATAATTCAGTTTTAAGAAGTTTACTTTAAAATGATCAAGTTACAGGCTATGGTTAGGCACCAGAAGGCTGCTCTGGTGCCTAACGCAGCCCTCCAACTAACACCACAGCACGCAGTGTCACTGCGTATATCAAAGGAAGCTCTGATAACAAATATGCACCTGTTTTTTGTTTTTGCAAAAACTAGAAATAAATTATGAAAAAACAAAACTGTTCTCACTTTGAAGTTCTTATGGGTAGCAAAACATTACAAAACAAGAACCACTGTGAGAGCGCAAACCTCCACCAAGACAGCTCACTCTCTGGGCAGTATTCACTTTTAAGGGAATATTTGGTATGTATTCATTTCGTCTTTATCGGAACAAAGTTTTATGAGAATTCATTCAAAACTACACAGAAAAAATGGCACCTCCTTGACAGAAGTCAAAAACTTCTTAAGATTTAAAAGGCCAACAAAGACCTCGAGGAACGCTGTATTAGATAAGGTGCGGTGTCATTTCAGTGACATTTAAAACACTTACCGATAATCCACAGTTGCACCTCTGATCACAGCTGCTACTACAGCAGTATTTCCAAAATTTCTTTGAATCATTACTTTTGGTAAAACAAAATTTTAAAAATGACAATGAGGCATGCAATAGATGAGACTCAATGCACTAAGGTTAAAAAGTAAAATTCTATATTTCGCTGCTTTAATTCTTCCTGCAAGCACAAAGATGATGCAACACCTGCCGATTGTTTACAGTTAAAGAGAAAAAAAAACTGTTTTTATGAGAGACTTCTTTAATGTGCTATAAAGGAACAGTAGGTTTCTGAAAATATGCAATAAAAAAGCATGCGTTGGCACAGTCTACTCATTTTTGTTAAAAAATAGATGAAATTTTGTATATCATACAAAAATAGACAATCTGTAATCAAACAGCATAAAATATGTTCTTTTTTTAAGAAGTTAAATAAGAAGGCAGATCATTTCAATATTCACACCAAAGACAATGTATTTTTTGTACTTTTTCATTCATTCCAGTTTGTTCACTCTGTTCTCTCTCGTGTTGGTTTCCTCTTCCTGTTCCTGTTTGGCCCCCCGCCTGTTCGAGGCAGCGCTTCCTTAGAGTCCTCACCCGAGCCCATATCTAAAGGGTCCTGGTTTTGTCTCCAGCTGTCAGGGACTGTGGGAAAGTCCTCCTCTAGAGAGTGCATAGGTCGACCGTACACCTTGCTCTGCAGGTCTGCGATGTCATTTCGGATGTCTGCCATCAGCAGAAGCAGGAAATCAAAGGATCCTGGAGGGCCCTGGGTTTGACCAAAGAGATACAGAAAAACTGATTTAGAAATGTAGATTTTTAGCTTATTTGTGGATATAAATATAATTATTACACAAGAGTTTATTGCATCAAGGCTCAAGCTGTTTGGTGAACTGGCCACTAGATGCTTGGACATGATGATAATGCTTACTTTCAATGAGATACCATTTAATTTCCCAGCCATTTTGTGGTTTAACTACACTTTTCTATTTGATAGTAACGAGTTACAGTAATGTGGCCTCGGTATAGACAGCCTTAGTCTTACTGGTGGTCCAACAGGCCCAGGAGCTCCTCTGTCCCCCTGAGGAAACAAAACAAATATTTAGTTAAGATGAATTACACTGAAGGAAAATGCATGAGAGGAATTCATGATATTCTGCTACGGGAACTTTCACAAACTGGAAAACTGAGTTCAGGATTAAAGTAAACACGATTGCTTCATGGATTAAAAAAGGAATAAATGGGAGCACATTATATCAAAGAAGCATGTACTGTGTTGTTATATATATTTGCTAAAAGAGCAATGCAGCTTTCATCAACTCTGTGTAAACTTTGAAACATAGACTAAATGTCACCCCTAAAGCTCATGCTCAAAATGTGAGAATACAAAGTGTGGCTCTCCATAGAGTTTAGTGTAAAATCCTCTTTTCTAGCTTTAGATAACAAATACATTTCTAAGCAAAAAAGTAAAATTAGTAAGCTGGATCCTTTACAGCTTGACTTTGAATTATTATGGCAGCCTGGTGATTTACAGTAGCACATACACATTAAGCTGACTACCCTGTTAGCCATGCTCAGGGTCACAAGGGGGCTGGGAGTGTTTTGGCAGATGGTTTGGATTTGTTACTGTGAGAGACATATTACCATAACCCTCCAATCTATCCGCACAAACATCCCAGCTGCACTGAAAAGAACACCAAGGTACTGTGTCAATAAGGCAGATGCACCTAAGTCTTTCCATGCGTTCAATCTACAAGCCAAGCAAACAGAGTTACAAGGTCCAATTTAACATGAAGCTCTGAAGCTTTCATACCTTGCTCTTGTAAGTGATTTATTTTTCTTTTAAACAAACACACCCACCCTGGTGTTCAATCACGGGCACTGTTAAGTCTCATAATGTTTCAAGGTTTCTGCATATTAGCTCCTTTAACTACTTCACCTGGCTGCTCTCAGTCTAAATTCATTCTGACATCCTGAAGGTTCAGGATCAAGTCCCCAGTGAAACTAAAAAAGAAAATCTTACCGCACTCACTCACTGCACCACCAACCTGCCGTACTTATCACAGGCTAGGGTCAAATCAAAGATAGAGAGAGAGCTCTGTTCTATTTTTAAAAAGCTTTTTCTTTGAGGCTAATCTTAGTAACAACTGCCACAGTCACAAGTGATGTTCATACATTATTTTGCCATATAAAAACCATCATCATCTAAATGAGAGCGAACCACTGTCAAACTCAACTACAACACGGTGCAGCAAAGTGGCAGAGCAAGAGCTTCTGGTTATAGATATTGTAAAAAAGAGCAAGAGGCATAATGTTTAATGCAAAGATGTGAAAAATGCACAAAATAAATCTCACAGTAACTAGGATGAAATCTGCATTGTGCCCACTTAATCTCAGACTTAACCATCTGTCAGAGCCTTCTTTTTTTAACCCTTTGTCTTAGGCTTCACAAGAACGCAAAGCAGAGAAAAGCATTCCTGTTAGCCCTTTAAAATAACATCTCCAACTGGCCAATCTGAATAAATTCAGGTGATTCCAAACAACCAAAACAGCCCAGAGGTATCTATAGTGTTCACATTGGTGGTCAATGACATTTCTGTGCTGAAGTCACGGGCTCAAGTCTGACATGAGAAATTTCTTTCCAAGTGAGCAAAATCCTGACCCTCTCTGTAAGAATATGTAACACACGTTTCAAGCATCGACCAAAGCTTGTGTTCATGTTGTACACAAAACTGTGGAAACTGCCTATAAACTTGTAGCAACTTGCAGTTAAGTAATCCCCTCATGTGCCCGCGCAGCACCCAGGTGAGGATTAACAAGTATTCTGGCACCTGCCTTGTGCTTTTCATCCTGAACAAAACTGGAGAGGTGGGGAAACAATTTAGCTATTGAGAAATTTACTTTGATTGATGTGATTTTGGCAAATCTTTAGAGCCGGTGCTTTCTGCACTCACTGCACCGACTTCTTTTTTAAAATGGGATGCAATATGTCAATAGTGATGACTCCTCCTTCTCCCTAAGGGATCAATGTGATGGGCAATTCTACTCTTGTCTATAGTAATTGCCTTGTAGAGGAAATTTATACTTTAAAATTCCCCAAAATGAAGATTTCTGGTTGACTAAATAGCATCTGAACTCACCTTTAGACCGTCTTTTCCTGGTGCTCCTGGAGGCCCCTGTTCAATACAAAAAGTAGTTCAGATATATTTGATTTTTAAACATATTTTAGTCACTTTTGTTTCAAACTCCAAAGGTATGAAATTACATTTACTGCTTTAAAGTATTGTTCTGTGGCTTGTTGAATTCAGTATATTCCCAGAAACAGTTTACCCAAAGCCCCTCAAAATACAAAACTACTTTATTATGCTCCATCAAGTGAGAGTACCCACGATTAACTCTGCTCCTGCCTCCAGGCCATTTCTGAGTAACTTCAAACTGACAACACAGAGTGCTTTGATCTCTTTCATGGGATAATAATCTTTGTATAGGGAGTAGCGCCAATATTCAGATCACTAAAAAGCTTCTGAGTCACGCATTCATCACCTCTGAAATCCAGACATGAAGTCAAACACACATGGCCTGGTGACCAAACCAAACCTAACTGCACCTAGAGTTTAACCAGGTTGTTGTGCGATGAGAGGACAATATCTTTTCAGTAGGAGATCATCAGCATATGTACTGATGAAATGTATAAATAAGATTAAAAAAACGCATCCACGCTCAAACACAAAGCAACAGGTCATCTTCTAAAAAACACTGCTCTGCAGCTCTTGTTTTGGCTTTAAGCAGCTTGTGATTTGATTGATGGTAGGTGATGATAGTCTGATTTATCAGTGAGAAGATTGCATAAATACAAGAGCTTTAAAAAACTAGAAAATATGTCTTGATCGCCACATCCTGCACATTCTTGATTCCAGTCCCACACTTTAACATGTAGGGTTGACACTTGCAGGAAAGACTTGGCACGGCACAAAAACAGCAAGCCAAAGAAAGCAACCGAAGCTGTTGTCCTGCCATTTCCACGTGTTATCCTTATGCACCTCGCAAGAATGAGGGTCTTTAAAAGGGTGCATGACGGGATGTATTTTGTGTCTTTCTCAGGGGGGGGTTTCCTGTCAATGCAGTTACACTAAATTATCTGATAATATAATAATTTAGTGAATCATTAAAATGAAAAAAGAGATTTTCAAGATTTTATTGCTTTTCATATTAAAACAGCCATTCTTCTATGTGTCACAAAGTAAAATTATAAGATTAAAAATAATAATAAATAGAAGTAACTGGTGTAAGAGTGGTGCTATACATCAACTTATTCATAGGTCATAATCAGGACACAAACTTTCTGATTTTTATATTCTCCATTTGACATGAAGAATATAACAAATTGGATATAAAATGCTGTGAGGCTGTTTGTTTCATCCAAGACGAACGCTAGTTTTTCTTGTTAAATTCTGCGTAAATTTTTAATTGTAAAACAGGGATTTAATAACTGACCACAGGTCCCCGAGGGCCTCGTTTGATGTGGTACAGGTCGGGTGTTGGTCCAATGGGTCCCATTAAGCCTCTGGGGCCAGGTGGTCCAGGGGGCCCCGTCTGTCCTGAAATTCCTGGAGGGCCTTCTGGTCCTGGATCTCCTGAAGTATTACACACTGATATGAGTGGGTAGGAAACAACTGAAGAGATTACACACACAGACACACACAGACTCTGCATAATAGATGCTTTTTAGCTTTATTAGAGAGATTTCAATGTTAAGATGATGCTAACAATGCCTATATTATATTAGGAAAATCTGCACTGTGTGCTAACATTGTTTAAAAGAGGGATGACCACAAAAACACCCTGAAGTTTGGATTTTAGCTATGCAGAGGTTTACAATTTGAGGTTACCTATAGTTTACAGTTAAATATGGTACAAATATAAATTCTCTATTAACAGGTCAAAATTAAAAGTTGTCCAATGCTTTGAATTGGGAAAACTACGATATTTCTATCAGTTCATCTATCCATCACTTTTATTGTTACTAGGGATTGTTAAAGATAAGTGTCAGAAATGTGTCATAAATACCA